CAATTTTAAAAAAAACTATGCACAGAGATATATTTTAAAAAGCCAATATATAAATTAAAATGGAATTCTGGAAAATATTTAAATAGTTCAGAAGAAGGCCAGAAAGAAAAACAGTAAAAAAAAAAAAAAACCCAGAAGGAATGAATAGAAAATCAATGATAAATAACAGACCAGTAGACCTATACACAACAATATAAAAAAATTAAATTTAAATGGTCTAACATGCCAATTAAAGTACTAAGATTAGATAAAAAAAACAAGAAACCACCTGAAACATGATAGTATATATAGGTTAAAAAGTAAAAAGTTGAAAAATGATGTATCATACGAACACTAAAACCAACCAACTAAACAAATAAACAAAAAATCCTGGAATTGCTATGTTAGTATCACACAAAGCAGACTTGAGTAAAAGGAAAATTACCCTATAGTTTATTGTTGTATTTCATAGACTGATTAATAAGAGAATAATCTGCCCAAAGTCACACATCCAGAAACTAATTGAATTGAAGTTTAAGGAAAAATTTTCTAGCAATTTGGACTCTCAAAAAATGAAGTAAGTTGTATTAAATTTATTATGCAGACTTTTGATGGTTCTGCTTATAATTTCAAACCCAGAAGAAAGTATAAATCCAACGTTAATCCAAAGTATAATCCAACGTTAATGAAGAAAAAGAAGTTCTATTTCTAGGCATTGGGACTACTTATAAAGCTAGAGGTCACAAAGCCGAAACTAGAACCCAAGTCTCCCTCTGACCAGTGCCTTTCTCACTATACCCAATGTTCATATTCTAGATGATGTCTAAGATTAATTTTTAATCCATAAATCTCTTTTCATGATTCATTCATCACTAAAAGTAAACATAGCTAATTGGGTCAGTGGCAATAATGTTTGACAGATTAGTTAAATTAAAAAAAAAAGCAGCTAAAGGCAAACAAGATATAAAATATTTAAATTCTCAATTCCCTGGACTACATCAAACTAAAGTTTCTGCACAGCAAAAGAAACCATCAACAAAACAAAACGGCAAACAGCTGAATGGGAGAAGATATTTGCAAATAATACCTCTGATAAGGGGCTAATATCCAAAATATATAAAGAACTCACACAACTCAACAACAACAACAACAAAACCTGATTGAAAAAATGGGCAGAAGATCTGAACAGACATTTCTCCAAGGAAGACATATAGATGGCCAACATATATATGAAAAGATGCTCGACATCACTAGTTATAAGAGAAATGCAAATCAAAACCACACGAGATACTACCTCACACCTGTTAGAATAGCTATTATCAATAAGACAAGAAATAATAGTGTTGGAGAGGATGTCGTGAAAAAGGAATCCTTGCAGGATGCTGGTGGAAATGTAAATTGGTGCAAATACTTTGGAAAATAGTAAGAAGTTTCCTCAAAAAATTAGGAAGAGAGCTACCATATGACCCAGCAATCCCTCTTCTGGGTATCTATCCCCCAAATTTGAAAACACATATTCGTAAAGATATATGTACCCCTATGTTCATTGCACCATTATTCACTATAGCCAAGATATGGAAATAACTTTTGTGTCCTTTGACAGATAATTGGATAAAGAAGATACGGTACATATATACAATGAAATACTAGTTAGCCATAAAAAAGATGAAATATTACCATTTGCAACAACATGGATCTTGAGAGTATCATGCTAAGTGAAATAAGTCAGACAGAAAAGGACAAGAACCATATGATTTCACTTATATGTAGGATACAAAATAAAAAGCAACAAACACAAAACAAAACAAATTCATAGATATAGACAACAGAATGGTGGTTACTAGAAAGGGGGGAGGGAGGGGAGGATGAAGAGGGTAAAGGGAGTCGCATATATGGTGATGGAAGGAGATTAGATTTTGGGTAGTGAGCACACAATGGAGTATACAGATGTCATATTATAAAGTTGTACACCTGAAATTTATATAATGTTATTAACAATGTTACCCTAACAAATTTAATTTAAAAAAATAAGTAGAAGCTATCAATGGAGGCATATTTAAAAAGAAATTAGAGGCAACCAGGGAATAAAAATAGACTGCTTTATAGTTAGAAGTATTATCCATTGGGCTGGCAGAAAATTTGTCAATAACAAAATAGAGGCCAGGAAACTATTAAAAATATATTTATTGCATTAAATGTAAATTAATACTTATATAAATATAAACATATATTTAACTGCTGAGTTAAATATAACTAAATTCTAAGGCCACATACACTCTTATTCAAGAGTATTCTGAATCAAAGGTCCTACTTCCACAGATGACCTCATCTAATATACATAATATACATACCTCTAATATTCATAATCTTATCACCTCTAACCACATTGGGTTAATCAGAACTAATATTACACTATTTATTCCTACTTATATATATATCACCAAAAACAGCTCCAAACTCTAAAGTCAATGCCCATTTTTCACATTCTAATCTCTTAAGACTGTATATCTATTATTCTTTCCTCAATATGCCATATATTGTTAACATATGAACCCTTCCTTTGTGCCAAAAACAGTATTTAGACACATATTTGCGATAACGATTTCCACTCAAAAGTTTAGAAAATAGATGAAACTCCATATACTCATCCTACAAAATCCTCAGATTCAACAATTATCAAGTTTTTCCACTTTGCTTTATTTATCCCTTTACTATCCTAAAAGTAGAGAGTTCCTATGAACCCTTTCATAAGCCGAAATTGAGTAAAGCAAAGATGCAATTACCTTAGGACACATCTTGCTAACAAATGCACAAAATAAATCAAGATAAAGCACAGATACTCACAGACACAGTTCAAGGCTATGATAGCTTGATGCCGAGATGCTGAGTGTGGTTCCTAGGGAAGGAGCTTGGTGGTGCCACTCTTTTTGTTTGGAGTGTATGCTGCCTCTATAAGGGTTCGCTGCAAAACAAACACTGAATGTTATTTTCACTCTCACTTAAAAGTGAAAATCTTCTTTGACTTTCATTCAGTTAGTAAAAAAGGGTACTAATGTAGGTCTTTTGCAAAAGCAGAATGGAATAAAGCAAACTTTCAATAAGTAGAGGATACCTATATATATTTCCTGGACTATTTTCAAGCAAATCTCAGACATCATCATTTCATGCCACATACTTCATGGCTCTAAATATCTAGAGAGTGGAAAGTAATTTTAATTGAGTCAGTTACTACAAAATCTATGAAAATATTGACCTACTATTATGATCAATAGGCCATAAAAACTTTTGCAACTGATAGAATCAAAAAAGTGAAGAGATAACCTGCAAAAAGAGAAGAAAATATTTGCAAATCATGTATCTGTTAAGGGACTTGTAGTCAGATTTTAAAAGAATTTTTACAATTCAACAAATAACCCAATGTAAAAATGAGCAAATGATTTAAGTAGACATATATCCAAAAAATATACATCTAGCCGATAGGCACTTGAAAATATGCTCAACATTATTAATCTCTAGGGGAATGAAAATCAAGACCACAATGAGATACTACTTCATGTCCACTTGGATGGCTGTAATAAAAGAAAAAACAATAGATAACAACAAGTGTGAGGCTATGAAGAAACTGGAACTCTCATATATTGCTGGTGGGAACGTAAAATGGTGCAGCTAGTTTGCAAAACTGGCAGTTCCTCAAAAAGTGAAACGTAGAACTACTATATGAACCAGAAGTTCCACTCTTGTGTATATACATACCCAAGAGAAATACATCCATACTTCCACACAGAACTTGTACATGAATGTTCGTAGAAGCAGTGTTCACTAGTAGCCAAAAAGTGGAAACGACACAAATGTCCATCAACTGATGAATGGACAAAATATGTCATATGCAAACAATGGAATTTTATTTGGCCATAAAAAAGAATAAAGTACTGATGCACATTATAATATGGATGAACCTTGAAAATATTATGCTAAGTGAAAAAAGCCTGTCACAAAAGACTTTATTGTATGATCCTATTTATATGACACGTCCAGAATACTCAAAACGAAAGAGACATAAAGTAGATTAGTAGTTGTATAGAGCTTGAGGAAGAAATGAAGAGTGACCGCTTTGGAGTTGAGGGAAATGTTCTAAAGTTGATTGTGGTGCTGGTTGCACAATTCTGACTACATTATACACTGAATTGTATACTTTAAACATATGACATTTTAAAACATTAGGGAAATCCAAATCAACTACAAATTAATCAATTGCATGTAACAATAAAGCTTTTTTTTAAAAAAATGAGAGCGAAGTCATTAATAGTGTTTTCTGAAACTCAAGCAAAAAAAACGATTAAGCTAGAGTACATCCAGATACTAGGGAAGACTGAAGATGATTGAAATAATTACAACTCAAGTCTGAAAAGACAGTAAAAACTGAAGGGCTGGGGCAAGAAGAGCTGCCTATGTGTTAGGTTTCAGGTGACGTATTGTTATCCTAATTTTACAACTAACAGTGAATGGTATTAGAAAATGCCAGAGCTATGTGGCCTGTACAGCTGTATCTGACTCAGATGGTGCCCTTTTCCAGCCCCAACTTGGCTGACGAAAGTAAGGAATAGAGGGCAAAGAAAGCAGTGTGTGGAAGAATCCAGTTGCTGGGGGTATTTTCTGAGTGAATACTGGTAAAGAGAGAAGAAAAAGGGACAGAAAACTTTCAAGTTGTCAGTTCAGTATTTTTGTGCAGAAACATTCGTTGTTATGAAGAAATGATTCCATGTCACATTAGAATGTTACTAAAATTAAAAAAAGAAAATATATTCAACTTTGGAAATTCGTATCCCACACCAAGCTCGGGTCGCGTCCTCTATCTCTTCCCTGACCCGCTTCGCTCAGAACTACCTGTTTTCGGAATTGTTTCCACAAGAGCAATTCGCGCGACAATTGGACGGCAGACACCAACACGGAGCCTGCGCGCGAGCGAAACTAGAGCCACAGCCTCTGCGCGTGCGCACCGCTCCGCCGCGTCTTCCGCCTCCGCCTACGAAGCTCCAGCCCAGGTGGAGGCCGCTAGTCTGTCTGCGGTCTGTCTGCAGTCTGTTGATTGAGTCGGCTTTCCACGCGACCTGTGACGGGTCAGCGGCGGTGCCCACAGCTCAGCGCCTGCGCGGGCTGCGGGCGTCCGTCACCATGGCAGCGACCTCTGGGGGCCCTGGTAAGTGCTAGTCCCCCGGCTCCGCACGACTGGCTCGAAGCCCTGCACTTTCTCCGGCATGGTGCCAGTGGTTGTGGGCGCTTTGAGAGACTGCTCTGGCAGCACCCCTCCCTTTTTCGGATCTTTGGTTACCGCAGTCTCAGCTTGCGCCCACAATCGATTGGCCTGGAACCTTGGTTCTTCCAGTGGGCTTTAAGAGAAAAGCGTTTGGGGCGGCCAAGAAGTGAAAGAATGTTGCGCCTTTTTTTAAAAAGGATTTTTTTTGGGGGGCGGGAGGGGAGTCGGAGTGTTAGGTTCATAGGAAAATCGAATGGGAGAAAGTTCCTCCTTATATTTCCTACCTGGACAAACATATACTGCCCCGTTATCAGCATCCCCCATGAGCGCTACAGTTGGGGACCTACATTGATACACTGTAATTACCCGAAGTCCCAGTTTACTGTAGTGTTCATTTCTTGGTGTTGTGCATTCTGTGGGTTTAAACAAATGTATATGGACATGCGTCCATGATTATGGGCTCATACAAAATAGTTTCACTGTCCTAAAAATACTCTGTCTTCCATCTGATTATCTCTCACCCCTCCCCAGTCCCTGATAACCAGTGATCTTTTCACTGTCTCCATAGTTTTGCCTTTTCCAGAAGGTCATATAATTGGAATCTTTATGTAGCCTTTTCATATTGGCTTCTTTTAGTGCTATGCATTTAAAGTCTTTTTATGGCTTGATAACTTCTTTTGGCATCACATAATATTCCATTGTCCAGGTGTACCACAGTTTATTCCATTCACCTACATCTTGGTTGGCTTCAAGTTTTGGCAATTATGCATTAAAATGCTATAAACATCGATGTGCAGGTTTTTAATGTACACATAAGTTTTCAACTCCTTTGCGTAAGTATCAAGGAGCGCAATTGCTGGATCATGTGGTAAAAGTATGTTTAGTTTTACAAGAAACTGCCAAACTACCTTCCAAAGTAGCTGTATCATTTTGCATTTCCAATAGCAATGAATGAGAGTCCTGTTGCTCTACATCCTCACCAGCATTGGGTGTTATCAGTGTTCTGGAATTTGGCCAGTCTAATAAGTGTGTACTTTGTTGTTTTAACTTGCATTTCTCTTATGACTTGCATTTCTCATCTGCTTGCCATATATTTATCCTCTATTGTGAGGTGTTTTTAAGGTCTCTGACCCATTTTTTTAATGGGATTGTTTTCTTATTGTTGAGTGTAAGAGTTCTTTGTATATTTTGGATGACAATTCTTTATGAGGTGTCTTTTGCAATATTTTTCTTCCAGTGTGTGGCTTGTCTTCTTTTTTTGACATCATCTTTCTCAGAGAAGTTTTTCATTTTAATGAAATCCAGCTTAAACATTATTTTGTTCATGAATGGTGCCTTTGGTGTGTATCTAAAAAGTCATTACTACACTCAAGGTCATCTAGGTTTTCTGTATTATCGTGTAAGAGTTTTATAGTTTTGCGTTTATATTTAGGTCTATGATCCATTTTGAGTTAATTTTCGTGAAGGATGCAAGGTCTGTTTAGATTCATTCTTTGCATGTCGATGTCCAATTGTCCCAGCACTATTTGTTGAAAAGACTTTCTTTGCTTCATTGTATTGCCTTTGTTCCTTTGTCAAGGATCAGTTGACTATTTATGGAGGTCTGTTTCGGGGCTCTCTATTCTGTTCCATTGATCTATTTGTTTATTTTTTCACCAATACCATGCTGTCTTAATTACTGTAGCTTTATAGTAAGTCTTGGTGTTGGGTAGTGTCATTACTTTGTTCTCCTTCAGTATTGTGTTGGCTCTTGTTTTTGTTTTTTGTTTTTTGTGGAGCTTTTTTGTCCTCTAACTTTAGAATCAGTTTGTCAGTATCCACAAAATAACTTGATGGGATTTTGATTGGGATAGCTTGAATCTGTAGATCAGTTGGGAAGAACAAACAATATCGAGTCTTTCTGTTCATGAACTTGGAATATCTCTCTATTTATTTAGTTCTTTGATTTCATTTATCAGAGTTTTGTAGTTTTATTCATATTGATCTTATACACAGTTTGTTAGATTTCTGCCTAAGTATTTCAGTTTTTTGGGTGCTAATGTAGATGGTATTGTTTTTCATTTCAAATTCTATTTGTTAATTGCTGGTAACTAGGAAAACAATTGACTTTCATATATTACCCTTGTGTCTTTCAATTTTTTTCAGTTTAAATTTTTCCCTGATCGTAAACATAATGTATGCTCATTATAGAATATTTATAAAGTATATTGAAGTAAGAAAAAGGTCACATAATGTCAATACTCAGAGTCACCACTTGTAACTTTTGGGTATATTTTCTAACAGTCCTGACTTTTATGAAAATATAGTTAAGATCATAGTATGCATGCCACCATATACTATATATCTTTTTTGTTTTTCTCCCATTTTTTAAAAAAACATATAAAGAAGTGTTTTAGAGCATTACTTTTTAGTGGCTTAGAACAACACAGATTTATTGTAGTTCTGGATGTCAAAAATCTGAAGTGGGTCTCACTGAGTTAAAATCTTAAGTGTCAGCATGGCTGCATTCCTTCTGGAGACTCTAGGGGGGAGCATCAGTGTTCTTGCCTTTATCATTCTCTAGAGACTACTTGAGTTCCTTGTTTCATGATCTCTTCCTCCATTTTTAAAGCCTACAGTAGCTGGTTGAGTCTCACATTGCATCACTCTGACACACTGATTCTCCTTTCTCCCTCTTTTACTTATCAGGATCTTGTGACTAAATCGGGCCCACCTGGATAATCCACGCTAATACCCCCATCTCAAAGTCAGCTGATTAGCAAACTTAATTCCATCTGTAACCTTAATTCCCCTTTGCTGTGTAATATAGCATATTCATAGTTTCCAAGGATTAGGTCATAGACATCTTTGAGAGGTGATTTTCTTCCTACTACAGTGCCTATACGTATTATCTCTACCTTGCTTTTTTTTCACTTAACATATCTTTGAGATTATATCAGTACATATAGATTTGCCTCATTCTTTTTAATGGCTGCATAATGTTCCATTGCATGAGTATACTATTATTTAGTGAATTCACTATTGTGAATTAAATAAATATTTAATTATTTTCCCATTGTTGGACATTTCTGTTGTAGCCAATAATTAATGTGTCTTCTAAAAACACCTAACTTAAATATTTAAAGAAATAATGGCCATATATTTTCATCTTAGTGTCTCTGACTCTGTTGCATATGTTAAATAGGGCTACATGTTTAGGGTAGAAGACTGCTTGGGGGATAGTGAATGCTACAGCTAATTCTCTCCATTCTTTAGTCTGTAGCCCAGCATAACAGAATGGTTGCTAAGTTCCATGCATGTTAGTTAGAAGTTATCTTTATATGCCCCTCCAGTCTCTAATCATATTTTTCTTTTTCTGAATGTCTTATCGCCAGTTTATGATGGCCATTTTTAGTTTTTTAACTGTCATTAGGTGAGGTTAATATACAAATCATTAACAGAAGACACAATCTCATACATAGGGAATGCATCCACTTAGTAGGCACTTATATGTTTAAATAAATGAACAAGAATTAGGGAGGTAAGATTATAGGAAACTTCACTTTTTCAGCTTTTTCTCATTGTTATAGTGGGAGATGGCATAATTTGGAGTAGACCTGGATTCAAGTGTTTTAGTCTCAGTTAACTCACATATTTTAATGTTTTAGAGAAAATCTGGTCTGCCAAAAAGCGATTGATAGATATAAGAATTATATACATATGTACATGCTAGATAATTCTGTGAATACTAATTTAGGAGTTTAAGTCACTCATATAAGTGTTGTTGAGACTCATATTCTGAAGGTAAATATGCTTAAATGTGTAATTTAAGATTCTAAATTGTTAATGTAAATATAGAACGGGGCTTTGGGTGGAGAAAACTTGTACAGAATTTAGAAGAGTTTAAGACAGCTTTGGCTTTACATATGTTTTACTTATTTATAGGGCCAGGATTGGAGAGGATATTATGTGAAAATTCCTGCTTTAAAAATCTACCTCTTAACAGTTTTTTTCTTACAGCTTACTTTTTCAAGCTTCTAAGGTTCAGGCTATCCTATATGTTTACTAATTATATATGTATATATTAAATGCCTGCCACATCATAATACTTGTTTCTAGTTTTTAAAATCTTGTGTTTTTCCCAGTTTAATTACTTTATTATTCTATCTGTACCCTTTTTTTAATATAAAAACAAGTTTTACCCCATATAAAACAATCTATTCTTTTTAATGTAAATGCTATTATTGTAGGATCTTGGAGTGAAAATATTCTGGAATATTTTCTGAGAAATAGCCAGATCACAACAGAGGATGGTGCCCAGATCACCTGGTATCATGCAGCTAACCACAAGGCACAAATGAATGAGGCACTGCAAAGTAAGTCAATACAGTTCCTGGTATTTACATTGGGTACTAGATGAATTCAACTCTTTTTGTTTTTTTGCTTTTGGGGCATATTTGCCAGGTACTAGCATCTTAGATGAGCTAAGTGTATGTTCAGGCAGACATAAACGGTTTTTAAATTTATTAATTTAAATTAGTTTCACGTATACAGTACATTGGTTAGACATCTATACAGTTCATAAAACAATCTCCCTAGTTGCTCCCTCCTTCCCACAGGACTCCACCTAGCCATCATATAATGCTAGCTGCATTCCTTCTGCCACGCTCCCCATCCCTGTGACCAATTATCAACTACTAATTTGTACTTCTTTAACCCTTCACCCCATTCTCCCAGTCCCCCAACACCCCTCCCCTCAGTCCATCACCAAATTGTCCATTTTTGATTAGTTTATACTTTTTGTTCTTTAGATTCCTCATATAAGTGAAATCAAATGGCATTTATCTTTCTCTGTCTGACTTATTTCACTTAGCATAATAACCTCTAGGTCCATCCAAGACATAAACATTTTTATAAAGGATCTCATTTTGTTAACAAAATGAACAAATTTCCACAATGGAAGAATTTTCTTATTTTCTAGAAGCAATTTGCCTTTTCTGTGTCTTATTTGAAGCTCATATATTATTACACTTGGCTTATACATTGCAATGATTTGAGTAAAAATTTTAAGATCGGGGTCATGTGTCTTACATATTTGTGTGTCTTTCACAGTGTACTAAGAAGAGGCTCAATAAATATTTGTTAAATGGATGGATGAAGCCATTGTATACTAATTTATAATTAATTGCCTTGGGCAGAATTTATGCCTAGGCTAGAAACCAAGCCATTTGGTTTACTAACTCATTCTATAATCATACATATTTATCTCTGTTGATTATATAGATAGATGAACATTCTAGCATTTTCTCAGCCTTTTCTATGAAGTACCCCTGTTGGCTGCAGTAGCAGAGAATGAAATCCTATTACCAGAGGGCTGGGCCATAGCTTGAAGTGACCTGGTCCAACAAGAAAAACTCCTTGAAGTCCCATGTTTTATTGTAATAATGTATGCATTTTTTTTTTTTTTTTGCATCCTACTCAGTTATGTACCTGTATAATGTATCTGAATATGTATCTCTTTTATTGTGAAGATACTGTTTTAAATTGCATTTCTTTGTTCCTCAAAGGGAGGAACTTTGTCTCATTTAATATTAAATCCCTAATACCTAAAACAGTACTTGGCACATAATCACCACACAGTGATTATTTAATAAATGAAATTTAGCAAAAGCAATGCCTTAGGAAAAAGTTGATTCGTGGTTACCAGGAACTGGTGGGAGTAGGGAATATGGAGTGAATGCTATTGGGTACAAGGTTTTTCTTTTGGGGATAAAGAAACTTTTCTAGAATTAGATAGTAGATGATAGATTCGCAACCTTCTGAATATTCTAAAAACCATTGAGTGGTACACTTTACAAGAGTATGTGGATTATATATTAGTTTTTAAAAATGGGATAAAAAAGAAAGGAAAAAAATAAAACTTATTTATAGACAATATGGTTGTGTATATGGAAAATCAAAAAGATAAATACTGTAATTCATAGATAAATTTAGATGATCTAAGGATACAAAATTAAAATAGAAAATAAATAGTACTTCTATATAACAACTAAAAATTTGGAAAAAATCTTAAGAACTGATAATTTGTAATAGGACATGCAGATGTCTCATACCTAGAAATAATCTAGTTAAATATGAATACTTTTCCAGGGATGTGTATTTTAATAGTAGTTAAGTTTTAAGTTAAAGAACAGAGTCTGTAACATAGAATTTCAAACTAAACAATAAGTATCTGTAGTTTCTAATTTGAGGAGTGAGAAGATAAAAGTACTATTTTTATTCTTGGAGACTTAAACAAATAGTTATTAAGCCTCCCTTTGTTTACACACTTTGCTGTATACTGGGAAGAGTAAATAATATGACAACACTTTAGAGCTGTGTGACCTAGGGCAAGATATTTAACTCCTCACCACCTCTTTGCTCATCTGTAAAAAATAACTGACATGTACAGGCCTAGCACAGTACCTGATACTTAGTAGTTACTTAGTAGTTACTCAGTAAGTGTTAGTTTTATATCCTTCCTTTTATCTTCATCAAAAGGATACTGGACATGGCATCTCCTGCAGTCTCTGTCTTATTAGCATAAACTTACGTTCTTTTATTTTGACAGGTACTGCTCACATGATAGAAGCTGATGTCCTTCTTCCAAGTGATGGATTAGAACATGGCCAACCAATCATGGCCCATCCTCCTGAAACAAACAGTGATAATACTCTACTGGACTGGCTGACTGAAGTTACGAAAAGCAATAAAGGCATCAAGCTGGATTTCAAGAGGTATTTATACAAATATATTGTCTTTTGGTTGTTACAGAATAACTTAGGGGAAAAATTAAAAGCCTCATATATCTGTGGCTGACTATGTACTTTTATCTAAATTGAAAATGGAATTGCAAGCTAACAAGTTTCAAGAATGGACCTGAGACTTACTGAGTTGTTTGCTCGAATTGTTTCTTGAGGGTCCTCTGAGGCTAAAATTAAGTTAATTTTTATAAAGGAATTTATTATAAGTGACCATTATGATAATAGGAAATTTTAAATGCTTCTTTCATTAAAATTAGTCCAGGAGAGAAAGAGTTGAGAACATTTTGTAGGGGTAGTTAATGCATACCCTACTTAATTTTTGTTATTATATTTATGTTCAGGGAATTATTTAGAATTCTTCAATAATGAAAGTGTTTCCTAAAAATAGTGTTTTAGAGGCATTGATAATGAAGAGCAAGATTAAGTGTCATTTTCTTATAGCTGTCACAGAAAATTTTACTTTTGTGGTATTTTAGCAGTATAAAAATTATAGGTAAAGCCAGGTATATATTGTATCACCAGAAAAACTCACCATAAACCTCATGAAGGCAACTTCTGTGAAAATCTAGGATTTATGGTAAATCTACCTCATCTCTGAACAATATCTTTAAATTGAATTATCTCAAGAAATTAATAGAGATTTGGAAATCTTACTCAGAGAGATATTAAGATGACTTTAATAATTTGTCATGGGGCTAAATATACCAGTGGATCTTGTCATACGGTTGGCATATGAAAGAGCTACTTAAAATTGAAAAGCTTTTAGGGTGGCGAATGGTCCAACTCCATTTCATTGACAAACTTAGTCCCTGAGCGGTTAAGTGATTTTACCCAAGGGCAACAGCTAAGTTTGACATCTGACCTAGAACCAGATCCCAGGTTTCTTAAAGCCAATTCGGTGTTCTCTGTACCATGAAACAGATCTTTAATGCTTGGTGACTCAAAGTGTTAGATCTCCTTGCCTTTTCATGTGCTCAGTTTTTTGAGTTTACTGTTGCCCCTTGCATTTTTCTCTATGATACATTCTTTGGCTCTTCACAAGTCAGAACGGCTCATTCATTCCTAAACACTGACAGCTACCACAAAAGGGTTGAGCCACTATAAAGAGGTTTTGCAGGTTTTTTGGCCAGAGCTGCTAGTCTAACTGACAAATTCATACTCTGACCCAAAACTCTGCACTACCTGTGTAGAGTAGCCGAATGACCTATTAGTCAAATTTTACTAGTTCTTTTATTGTGCTTTGAAGTTATTTTGTTTAGTATACAAATAATAACTAAGTAATATATGATGAGTTTTAAATTTTATGTGGCATTTTAGCAAATTCCTGTGTTTTGGAAAAAATTATTTTCCCTTAGGATGTAATTTTAAATGGTTTATTGCACTTTTAAGTATGACCATTTTGTCTTCCTCAATTTCTAAATGAAATTAATAGAAAAATAGGATATGAAACTCAGAAGTTTGACTTACGAGTAACTCTTTAGGAAAAAAAAAACCCTATTCTATAAAAAATAAGTTTATATTTTTTCCTAGGGATTTAAAAAAGTACTAAGCAAAGAGAGATTTTAGGTAGTGTTCTAATCAGGACTTCCTTCTTCAAAAGGGCAATTTAGCGTCTCTTTTGTTGGCAATTCTTTATGAGAAACATAATGCTAATACATGTAAGGACTGAGCATGTTGGCCACTGTTATTTTTAATTAGAATTACATGGCTTTTATAAATTAATTATTAATTAATTATATTATTTTGTAATATTTATAATGTTGAGTTTTCCAGGCCAGGAACATGCTGTGTTATTCCATGTAGTATATATTATATTCTGCTGCTTCCTCAGTCCTTTTTATTTTTTTTCAAAAATGTTATGGCCTTTCTTCTACATTTACTCTTTTAGAATTGTTTTGTCAAGTTCTAGAGAAATAAGTAGTACAACAACAAAAGTTTTATTTTCTTTAGTAAGGTTTCATGCTTTTCTTAATGTAGATTTTGTTTTTCTTATTTAGGTTTCTAGTAAGGGAAAGTATCATTAACTTTTTGTATTAGTAGTCTATAGTCTATAATAGTGATAATTAAAATATTTACATATAAAATGGAATATATGTATTAAATTCTTGCTTCATTGTGTTCTATGTCAACTTCTTATATTTAATGGTATAGTGCTTAGGATATAGTAGGCATATGATGGTGGAATTTCAGTTTAGGGGAGAAAATGCTGTTTAAGACTAAATATTATCAGACAGAGAACCAATATTAAATAGCCCTGTGTCAGCTTACTAACCAATATTAAATAGCCCTGTGTCAGCTTACTAAATATTATTAGACAGAGAACCAATATTAAATAGCCCTGTGTCAGCTTACTAAATTGAGAAAGCCTAAAATGTTCCCTATGGAATGTAAACTGGAAAATAGTGGTTAGCCAACTTCCACAGACCCCGGATTTCTTAAGAAGTCAGAGCCTTTTTTGGAAAAAGAAAGGTCAGCTACAGACATGCATGGATTAGTTTCAGAGTTTTCCCCTTCTTCACACATGAAGAACAGAACTGCAGGGGGTCTTGACTGCTGCTGTGGAACTTATAGATAAGCAAGCTTTGGAGTCACAGGTTGCTTGCTACCGAAAATGGGGGAATTTTGTAGGAAGTACAGTGCCAGATATCAGAATTGTGGTTTTAACATGGTATTAATACCCTTCAAGGCAGAAAGCATTTGAGACAGAGAAATTACAGCATCTAAATTAGAGTCTGCAAGGTCCAGCATTAGAGTTTATTAATCCACTAAAATCTAAGGCCTTTATTTCAGGAGTAGAAGAGTGAGAACAAAGAAGTTTACCACATGGGAGCAGAGTGAAAAGCTAGAGGCTGGTTTCCTCTGGTTTAATGCACAGTATCCTTGCTCACTAATAAATATGACCCAGGCAATGATGAGATTATCAGTGTCTCTTAAAGTAGAGGGCCCAAAAGGAGTGAACAGCGGTAGAAGCATAGCCAGGATTCCAGTCCCTTAAGAGGAAAGATGGAAATGGGAGAAGGAGATGTTGAATGTTCTTCCTTCCAACATCCATCTCCCAGATTCTTAGCCTCCCATTGCAGTATTCACTAAAAGCTAATTTTCTTAGAAATGCACATAGTCCTTAAGGTTCAGAATTATAAGTAGTATAGTCTTCCAGTAAAGTTTATGTGTATATTTTTTAAAAGTAAAAATTATGTGGGCTTATTAAAACCCTATTGTTTCAAAATCTGTAGATGTCGGTTAGAATAGATGTTGGGAAGTAAAAAGAGTGAAGCTCCTTTTTTATTTAAAAGTAACTGAAATGTAGTTTCTCTAGTTTCTAGAAAAGATATTTACAATAAAGGGGGAAAAAAGAAGTTTATAAGACCTTTAAGGAAATGTTATAATTTTACAGTTTGCAATCACTTTTAGAAATATGTTTATGCGTCCAGACTCAGACAAGACTACATGAAGGAATAGAGGCTTTTTTTCCCAAGGTCATTATCCAGTATTAGAGACATGGTGCCTGAGTGCACTTTGGGTATTTTCAAAAATGTGAGTTTGCAGGTTATGAGTACATCTCATTTTTAAATCTTATTTATAAATTCTCTGATGAGTAAATATTTGTATCCTAAATTGTTTTTATACTGACTGATCCTAATACAGAGTTTTGAAACCTCTATCTGTCCACAAGTGGCATTATTCGTATATTTATAGAAACTTTAAATACCTTCATGAATAAGAAATATAAATCAACATTTGAGATATGGCATATGTTAACTTTCTCCTTTGGTGCTATGTGATCTTTAATTTTATTTAATGCAGGCATTATTGTATAGTATACTTTTATTATGAATTTGGAAACACGAAAATCACTAGTCTAAAAGAACTTTTACTTTTACTTTAGGAATATCTTTCATTTACAACAAACTATGTTTTTAGTCTGTCAGCTGTAGAACCATCTATGATGCTCTTGGAAAATGTGAAGAGGCATCTGAAGCGTCCTGTGTGGATTAATGCTGATATTCTTCCTGGTCCAAATGGAAATAGCAGAGTAGTGGATGCAAAATCTTTTATAGACACTGTGACATCCTTCTTTCCAGATGTGACATTTTCCCTGGGTTGGACAACAGGATGGTATCCTGAGAAAGTCAATGACGGTAATAATTTAGAAAATGTATTTCTTCTTGGTCAAATGAAATATACTCCAAATATAAAATAAATACCTTGAATATAAAACCAAAAACACATTTCACAAAAACTAAGAGCCCGATAGAGAGAAAGTTCTGGCCCTAAAGGTATGTGTGTGACTCTTCTTTCTGTTATTCAGGTAGACACTGCATTCATTGGTGACATTCTGTCACCAAGCTTCCATGGGAAATATTTATTTGCAAGGTCTAGAAAAATGAAAGCTGCCTCTTTACATGTTTCAAACAAATCCTGAGTTGGTCTCTTTGAATTTGTAAAGCATTCTGTAGTCTTCTTTCGTTTTCTTTTTACCTTGGCACAAATTCCCTGTGTCAGATGAAAGATAAAGAAGTGGTAATAAAAGCTTTTCATGTGATGTAAGGCCAGAAGTAGAGGATTGTGTCTGAAAAGCACAAGTTCCGTTCTCTAGACATTAGAAGGGGCTCCAGATGTAAGCTGCTGAAACTTTGGTGCCTGCATGCTCTCTTTGGGAGACAGGGGATTGGGAGGCCATGAGACTCTCCTCTACCCTGGATCCCTTTCTTTTATGTATCCCTACAGATGAACCTGATATTCAGCTGCTTTTCATGGCTGCAACTTATTTTACTGTTGGGTTCATCTTTCTATTTCTTCATACATTCTTACGTAGTGATTTCCAGATAAATAGCCAGTAAGCAATCAGATGCTCTGGGACACCTGTTCTCATGGTAAAAATAATAAACTAAGAAGGCATTTCGAGCCCATGGAGCTGTTAGCATTTATCTTGTGTTCAAGGATTTTTTTTTTTTATTTTTATTTATATGCTATTATTGTTTTTAGATGTAAAGTTTTTAAGTCTGATATGAGATTAGAACAACTGCTGTCTAGTGAGTAGTGACATTTAGGTTATAATCCTCCTAGACCAATAATTGGTATGAATGAGAGAAAAAATTATATACTTTACCTTAATTCTATTTTAATTTTCTAATCATTTTAATTTTTATTGGTTTCATTAAAGAATATAGCATATAGTTTAAAGCGTTTAAAGGAGGTAAACTAGAAACAATTTAGTAAGTTCCTTACTGATTCTAAAATCCTTTTAGTCACCGTTTAACTCTGATTTTATCCTCAGACTTGAACTGAATTAAACCATATCTGGGTCTTTAGGTCATGTTGGTGTTGAATGTTTCCAGACGACTTTTCCCCCACTGGCCTCTTGTCATTGCCAACATGTGCTTTATCCTCCCTTAACTTCTTTTGCCACAAATTTTAGAAAAGAGAGTGTATAATTTTATAGTAAGGTAAGTATAGCTTCTGTTAGCAATCCTTTTTTCTAATTAAAACAACATAATTTTCCAGATTTTAAAGGTAAGCAGACATTTCCCTTCTTTCATGAGAAATTTGGCTAGTAAACTAACAGAAGCTTTCCGTAAAATGTTCCTTTACTGACCACTATTTTTTACAATCTGCTTTTGACAGTATAGGGTCATTTTAAAAATATAATTTTTTTCCAAAGCAGTTTATAAACAGGCAAGTGTGTTTTTCACAATTTCTTAATGTGATTTAAAACACACATATAAAAGTTAATTTATCATTATGTCTATTTTAGGTAAAATGTATAAGAAATTTGGACTACCCCTACCACCCTAAAATAAGAATGAAGTTAATTACTACTCAGACAGCTAGGAAATGCCTAGTAGCCACCTTTGTCTTTTAAAAGAAAACAATGCAAATGGAAAATCTAAGTTTATAGAGAATATTATAGAGAGATGTACCTAAGAACCTTGGATTCTTTAAAGTAAATTTAGTGTCAAAATTTGCTTTTTTTACACTTGAAAGATTCATAAATTCTTTTTAATGTTTTAATTTTTTGTTAAATTTGCTCTAGGTCACTTGTGGCATAATTTTAGATTTATTTTTTTATCTACATTTTCCATTCAACATATTTTCTTGTATTAAGTGGTATTTTATTTATTATTTTTAAATTTATTTTTTAAGTGGTGTTTTAATTCACCCTGAATCCAAATGGAAATTTTTATACATTACCTATGAATTTGCCTATTCATAGGTAATTTAGTTTTTAATAGACTTTTAGGATTTCAATTAGAAAAGTTAAATTTTTTTCTTTTCATTTCAGGTTACAGTTGGACAATGGTAAAAGAGATGGAATATATATGTAATGAACTAAATCAGCCTGTAACATTTCCTGTCAGAGCAGCATTAGTCAGGCAGTCTTGTTCTCAGTTACTTTGGCTGTTAGAGAAATCAAACAGGTATGTATAAGTTTAACAGTATAGTGCATGCATGTGAGTGTGTGTGAGGGACAGAGGCAGAAAGAGGATGCAAACTGATGACGTAAAGACTGTATGTGAGAGAAAGATAGAAATGAACACTGATTCTGTAAGCACACAAACTCCCTCACTAGAATAAAGCTGCTTGGTAAACCTGAACTTACTTAATATCTGTTCCTCACAGAAATTTTTACACGTAGTTGGTGCCCAAGAAATGTCACTTTTTTCATTATGTTATATGTTCACAAAAAGATATAAGTAGATAAAGTTTCCCTCTGAAATTTATCATAATTTCAGAAGTCTTTTCAATATAAAAATTTTAATATGTAATAAAAATAGTTGGACCACCTAGTAAATATTAAAGTATAGAGGTACAGTATTGAAACAGTTTTCACACTATCTTTTAAATAGACTAGTCAATAGAATAGCAGGGAAAGTCCAGAAATAAACCCAAATTTATAGGAGAAAGCCGGCATTTTAAGTCTTTGGAGCAAAAGTTCATTAACTCATGTTGAGACAACAGGCCAACTATGTAGAAAAATAAACTTAGTCCTTCCTCCAAAGTAAATTCCAGATAAATTAAAGACTTGAACATTAAACATTAAATGCATAAAGAAAAAATGAAATAATTTTTTATGTAGTTGCAGAATGGAGAAGACCTTCCTTAGTAAGGGACACAACCTAGAAACTATAAAAGGAAAGTTTGATACATTTAAATATTTAAAAATGGAAAGGTTCTGGTAAAACTATCCTCAATGCATATGTCATACAGATATAAAGAATTCTAACATGGACATGGTTCCATAGTGTAGTGGTTAGCACATCCGCTTTACGTGCAGAAGGTCCTGAGTTTGTGCCCCAGAGGAGCTACAATCCATGGTTTACGACCATGCCACCCTGAACAAGCCTGATTTCTGCTAAGCAAGGTCAGGCCTGGTTAGTACTTGAATGGGAGACTACCTAGGAAGAGCAGGTGCTATAGTCATAAATAAAAATAAAAAAAAGAATTCTAACAAATATTTTCACAAATCATTCAGAAAAGGACCCAGTCGGTAATTTACTATATTGTAGAGAGCAAGGGAAACACACTCATACATGAAAGAAGTATCTATCCATATTCCTGTGGATATTAAATTTTTACTAAATGCCCTTTCAGTTTTTATGAAAATAACCATATTTTCCCTATATGTATTAATAAAATAAATTGTATTAATATTTCATAATATCGAACCATCCTCACATTTCCAGAATAAACCCTACTTGATCATGAATTATCATAATTTTAATGTGCTGCTGCATTTTGTTGCTAATATTTTACTTAGGATTTCTTCATTTGAAAATGAGGTTAATCTATAGTTTTGTTTATTTCTCAGTTTTAGGTATCAGTGTCACGTACATTTCATAAAAAATACTGGAGACTTTTTCTTCTTTTTATGTGTTCTGGAATGTTAAAAATAACATTGACAGTATCTGAGTTTTAGTAAACTCAATTGTGAAGCCTTCTAAACCTTATGCTTTGAGGAAAGCTTAATTCATATAACCTTTACTATTTCTTATATAGTAAATGGTCTATTTTGGTTTTCTGTTTCTTTGAGAGCCAATTTTGATGTATTATATTTTCCTAGAAAATTGTTGCTCTCATGCAGGTTTTAAAATTTATTTACACACAGATGTTTAAAATACTTTCTTATTCTTTTAGTTTTTTCTGTGTCTTTAAAATAATTTTCTAATCTTGTTTATTTGCTCTTTTCCCCCTTGTTTCTTGATTAAACCAGGTAGTGACTTATTTCTCTCTTTTTTTAAGAACCAAGTCTTGGATTTATTTATTTGCAGATTTACAATTTGCAGATTTGGTTTATAATTTGGTTTCTAATTTGCAGATTTCTGCTTTTTATGTTTTAAAATTTTACTTTATATAGTTTATTCTCATTTCTTGAATTATATGCTTGTTTCATTTTTATACTTATTAGTATAAGTATTTAAGACTATATTTTTTTCTCCAACCACTACTTTTTTCTCATTGTTACTTGTGTGTAGGTTTCATCACTATTAATTTAAAACATTCCGCAATTGCGGCTTTTTTTGGTCTCAAAAGTTTTAAGAAATTTTGGGAGGTATCTAGGTTGTAGAATTATTTTTTTTTGGCTTTATTAATAGTTTTCTAGGTTTATTGTATTGTAATTAGATAATGTCTATATTATTTCTACTTTGTAGACTTTATTAAGGTTTTATTAATGGCTTAATATATGGATATTTGTGTACTGAGTTCACATAGTCAAGGTTATGGCTTAAAAACTGCACACTCTCATTGGCTGTAACTAGCTGTAGGTGAAGCTAGGAAATGTAGCTGTTATTCTGTACAAACTTGTGCCTAGTTAGAATTCAGGGGATTTTTATGTAGAAAGAAAGGAGAATGGGTATTAGAGAAAATTACTGGTTTTGGGACACATTAGCATATATTATGGGTTATGTTATATAAAGCTTTTATACCTTTTTGTTTGCTTTCAAATATATTTTTTAGTTTAATCTCTGGATAAGTAATACATCCACATGGTTCAAAAACCAAAGAACAGTTACCCTGTGAAAGCCTTTCCCATCCACCCAGCGCTGTCCAACCTCTCTAACCACAGTTTCTTTATGCATATAAGAGTAAATACAAATACAGAGTATTCCTCCCTTTAAAAAAAAAAAAAAAAGGTAGCAAATTATATACCTTGCTTCTTTTTTGTTCTTTGCTCTCTTTTTTTAACTTAGCAGTACATCTTGTATATCTTTCTAAGATTCCTCCTTTTCTAGGTGTATCATACTTATGTATGTACTATAATTTATTTAACCAACCTCCTGTTGATGGAAATAAAGGATGTTTCTAATCTTTGATATTACAAACAATGCTATAATGAATCCTTGTGAGTGTACCATTTTGCATGTGAGCAAATACATGGCATCTTTAGTATTTTGGCCACTTCCTCTTTATGGACTAAGAGAGTTAAAGTCTCCAACTATTGCTGCTGTATTTTTGTCTATTTCCTCCTCTGCCTTTGTAATTTTTGCTTATTAAATGTTCATGATCTGTTATTTGATGCATATTTATATCTTTTATCTTCTTGAAGAATTATACCTTTATTATTAATAAAAGGTCTTCCTCTTGGTCTCATTTAATGATTTTTACCTAAATTTACATTGTCTCTTTTTGTTGTTTTTTCTTGAATAACTTTGTATTCTCCTTTCTTTGAAAAAATAATTTATATAGTTTTATTTTTACTGACATTTTAAGGGTGATTTGTCATTATAGAAAATAGTTAGACCTATAGAAAAGTTGCAAAAACATACTGCATCTTCTTTACCCAGATTCCTAAACTATTAACATTTTCCTGCATTTTTATCCATTTTCTGTCTCTCTTCCTCCCTACCCTGCAATTTCTTCTTTCTTTTTTTCTTTGTATTTTTTCTGGCAAGATGCCTCATTAGCCTTAAGTATTCTAGTGGGTACCTCTCAGCCAAAGACACTCTGCTATGTTACTATGTTACTATGTTACTATGCTCCTGATCAGGAAGTCAGCATTGAGGCAACACTACCATGCAGCCCACAGACCCCTATTGACTTTACCAACCATTCCATTAATACTTCTTATTTCTTTGTGGTCCAAGAAACTCTCCAAGAGCATGCGTTGCATTTGGTTGTCATGTCTCATCAGTCACCTTTAATCTGGACTAGTTCTTCAATCTTTCTCATATACTTGACAGACTTAAAGACTACAGGCCTTTTATTATGAAAGATGTGCTCAGTCTGAGTTGGTTCAATAGTTCCTCGTGATTAATCCCAGGTCTTGCATTCTTGGCAGGCTCATCATGTTCTTTCCCGATCTCAGTTCTCCAGTCAGCCACTGCTTGATTACAGTAGGAGATGGTATTTAGAAAGCAAAATCTGGAAGTTTAGTATAATCATTTCTACTAGGTATCATTGCTTCTAGGACGTCTCAGTGGACAGAGCTGGGAGATATATGTGTGTGTGTATGTGTCATTGTGGGCTGTTTATGTATGTATGTACGTACAAACACAAACCTATACAAACATACATATACACATGCCTACACATATATCTATAACTGTTTCTGTATCTTTCTGTGTGTATATGTATGTTTTTAAACAACCCATGAGTTCATTCTGACGTTTGCAATTTCAACCCAGCCCCTCAGGCTTCTTTCTAGCCTTCTCCCTTTCTGTGTTCTTAAATTCCTTACCAGATGCTTATATACCTGGCTCCCATTAATCTAATGTAAGAGTCTTTTCCTTTTAAAAGAAAAGTTTAACTTATTTACATTTATTTCTAACACATATATATTTGATCTTGTTTCTGTCATAAAAATAAAACTAGTGTACTTGCTATTTTTAATACTTTAAAAGACATTTCACTGTAGCTGTTTTCTATTTTGTTTTGTATTTTCAATTCTGATAATTTGGGAAGTTAATTTTTCTGATAATTTTTCTCGTCTGTCCCTTACAGTATTTTCAACATCTCTTCTCCTTTGTATAACTTTTGGGAAGTTAATTTTTCTGATAATTTTTCTGATAATTTTCCCTTACAGTATTTTCAACATCTATTCTCCCTTGTATAACTTTTGGGAAGTTAATTTTTCTGATAATTTTTCTGATAATTTTCCCTTACAGTATTTTCAACATCTTTTCTCCCTTGTATACCTTCAGAAATAATACTATTATTTCTGTAATAGTATTAATTTTCTACTTCTTTCCTAAGATCCACTAATTAATGTTTCTTGGCTCTTGTCCTGCAACTTCTTCTACGAGCTCATATTTCTGCTTTGTGCTCTTTCTTCAAAGAGACAGTTGTATCATTTAAAAAATGTTTGGTTGTGGCTTTCATCTGTTTTATGGCTTTTTTTTTTTTTTTTTAGTTTTACATCTGTTTCAGCTATCTTATAGTTGTTTAAAAATGAGGTTTTTATTCCTCCATCTGCCATTAATTTTTCTTATATTTTCTTGTACTCTCTTGTGTTAAACTTCTACCAAATTTATTAGTATTACTCTACTTTAAAGAAAAGTATTGGAGAGGAACCAGGACTATGTTCCTTAGAGAGTCTTATGTGTGAGTTTGTTTAGCCTGTAATGTCTCTCCAGTTAATGGAGATTAGATAGGCAGTTGTAATATCTCTAAGTAAAATCTTTCATCTGTCTCTTAAATTAAAATTATTGGGTTTCCACACGAACAGTCTGATTCCTACAACTATGACTTTCCTGTGTTAACTCTTACCTTGTCTGCTGCTTCTTGGGACCAAACCTAATCCTCACTTGTAGTTCAGAGATGCCATTTTCACTGCTACATGGTGTTTAGGTGGAATATGCCCCTCACCTGGAAAGTGTCTTCTATAAGCTTTCTTTGTAATCTGCATACAGGAGCAAACTCCACCTCCTAACATCCACATCTGGCCTTAATCTCTATTGCTCTTGGAAACCTTTTCACCTGTTTTGTATGTTGCGGTTTTACCTCTTAATTTCATTGAAGATGGGGCTTCTGTTTCATTCTTTTGTTCTTTTTGCTGCTTTTGGGTGATTCCTAGGAGGAAATGGAGGCAGTGTGAACTTCTGGCTGCCGTGTTCAAAATATTCCTACCACCCCATTTCTTTTTTATCTACTGTCTGAGTTTCCTTAACTTCCAATTCATATGTATTCAGTTACTTTCCTGAAGTTTCTCATTTGAAAATTACACTTTATTCAAGCCAGTTCTTCACTTCTACAACATTTAAGTACTTCGGTTTGAAACTCCCTTGTCTTTTGGCTCCATGATGTTGCACTAAGCAGGTTCTGCTTCTCTGTCTAGTTCTCCTTTGTTGTTGGGTTTTTGTTGTTGTTATTGTTGATCTGTTTTCCTTTATCCTTAATTTTGGGTTTCTCTTAACTTCATCTCTTCCAGAGTTTTTTTTTTTTTAATATGAAAGTTAAACAACATAGCGAATATATTACTAGAGAATATCTTACTAGAGAATAGGAATATATTACTAGAGAATATCTTAATAGGAATATATTACTAGAGAATATCTTCATAATATTGAGGATGGAAAAGAATTCTTAAACGAGACACAGAAATCACTAACCATAAAGGATATGTTTGAGTAATTGGATTACATTAAAATTCAGACATTCTTTCCCTTAAAAGATACCCTATAGAGCATGCATAGGTTACTTATGCACAGAGTTAAGGAAGATTTCTGTAACTCAGAATGGCCCTAATACAGAATTTATGAAGGACTATCTTCTATTATTTGTATATCTATTTATTTATCTATTCTATTGAATGACATTTAGATTATTACATGGTTTTGGCTATTACAAAGATTCATTCATACACACACATACACAAATCGTGATGCACATGTGCCTGCATTTATAAAGGTTATATCAGAAGGATATATTCTAGGAATAGAAATTCTGGGAATAGAATTTCTAGGTCATAGGGTATTCATATTTTCAATTTTAGTAGATAATGCTAAACTGTTTTCCAAATGAATAAACTGTAGCTACATGTTTCAACATGGGTAAATTTAATACACAATATTCAGCAAAAGAAGCAAGACCAAAAATAATATTATATACCATATGATTCCATTTATATAAAATTCATTAATAGGCCAAAATAAACTGTATTGTTTATGGATGGATATGTAAGTGGTAAATAAAGAAAAGCAAGAAGGTGGCTACCACAAAAATCAAGGTTGTGAGTTCTCCAGGGGAGAGGCGAGTTTGTAATGGTACCTATTGAGGTGCTAATGATGTTCTGTGTCTTGATTTGTGTTTTGATTACACTGAAGTTCACTGTATAATAATTTGTTAAAATAAACATTTATGTTTTATGCATTTTTCCTATATATGTTATTTCACAATAAAAGGGACTTTTAAAAATAAAACCTGAGAATTGATTTGAATGAATATAATTTAAGATACCCTTGGGCAATTTTATTTTTCCTATTTCAGTTTAAATACTGCAGAGGGAAGATTAAAAGATGCAAAATAACGCTGGAAAGCTCTTTTAACCTAAATTCATATTTGCGTCTTTTTATGTTTGTCACTTTGGTGCTCAAATACAGTAGTAAAGATATCATTTTAGCAAAAATATAGCTTTTAAAAGTAATTCTCAGTTTTTCTTTTCTATGTTCTCAGCTGTAGTTTAAAATTTCCTTTTGATTTGTCACATAGTACTTCTATGGAAGAAAATCCTAAGTACTTTTCTCTGTTACATTTCCAGAATGTTGTCACCATCCTTAAGGACAGGAATGTATCAGTAACAAGAATATATACATTGATGAGACTATTTTTTATCATTAGTAGAAAAAATGCTTTGAAGATTTTCCCCTGGATTCTGACATGTTTTTTTGGGGAAAAAAATATGGAACTACTTAACAGCTTTCTATTTCCCTAGATTCCAATGAACAGGGGTAATGTAATAGTAATGTCACTGAAAGAAATGAAAATATACAATTTAAATAACATTAAAATTCTGAGCATACTCTTATATCCATAATAAACTTGCATATATTATTATTATTTTTTAACTCCAGAAATGGATCTAAATTTATTCCATTTGTCATTCTTAGTGATATCTCTTGGCATTCTTGTATCTTATACAAAAAAAACCCAGAAGGGATAGTAGAGCTATTTATAAGTGAATATGAATATTAGTAATATCAGTGACATTTTGTCTCTTCACAGTCCCTTCCAGTTGTGCTTTTCACTCTGCTCAGGCTACTGAAGAAACTCAGGTTAGAGCTGTAGTTTTTGTGTAGAGAACAGATTCCTTGATCAGCAGTACAATCTACTCAGTTCTTTTGTCCAAAATTTGGCCCACTTTCAATGCTACCAGTCTGGGTTTCTAAAGCCATTTAACATTCCTGCGATTCAGATACAGCAGTTACCTTATTTAGCAACAGCACTGTGAATTCTTTTTTCTCTCTAATCCTTTTGATGTTGATGAAGGAATGAAACTGGAAAGTATATTTCTATAATTGCTAACTAATTTTTTTTATCTGTGAATTTGGGTTAGAGACAAATGAGAGTATCTTAGGCTTATTAGAATTCCTCATCACTGTTTCTTTCACTTTTAACTATATAATTCTGTTTTACTTTAATGCAGGTACAGCCTTACTGTTTGGACTGGAAAAAATGATAACTATTCTATTGAAGATTTACTTTGTATTAGAGACCATTTTGACAAAAAACGAGTTTTCTATGACATCTTGGAACCACAGAATCATGAATTTAAACAAGCCATTGGAATCAAAGTTAATCTCTAAGAAGATTCTTCTGAATTATTTCATGTTTTGGTTTTGTAATCCTTCTATGCTTTGTCTGAATTAATTACCGTAAATTATGATTGATTTATAGTCCAATTCATCCAATCAAAAACACTTAACAAGTGCTTATTTACTGTATTAGGCATATGTCCTTATAATACAGTACTTACCTAAAAGATATGAAAAGAAGAGATTTCATAGGATCTAAGTGTAATAATAATAAAAAGATACTTTAAAACCCTTTATAAAAATAATTTTATATACTGAAGATAATTGAAAGAAGCTATGTATCATAACACAGGTATAAATCACATTTTGTTGTCACTTGCATTCCAGAGATTCTACAAAACTATGACACCCTTTTTCCTTTTTCCTAGAGAACTGGTTATTTCAGAGACTACAAAAGACAAGGCTGTAAAAAGCTTTTTAACTTTCACAGAGGTGAACAGCTTTCTCACTAACAAAATCAAATCCACTTACTGAAAACAATATAAATTATATGGATCTAGAATTTTCATTTCAAACATTGTTGGGAGCATACTGACAGCTATGTATATTTTTGTCTTATTTGTTTCAATCATAGTGTCTTCTCTATAGTGAGCAAAATACCATTGGAGAGTAGAATTTTAAGCCTGGTAATATATCATTTGATTTTCAAGCTTCTCACCAGCACCGCCTTAGTTCAGGATGTTGTTCTATTAGAATATCAAAAACTGGTTCTTCATTACTTCATTCTTTACACTCCACTCGGATACCCTGAGTATTTGTGCAGAAGAAAAAAATTTAAAACACCTCTTTATTTATGCCAAATCAAAAAGCTCCAGGGGCTTCTTAAATTTAACTTTATTGAGTTTTACTCTTTCAAGACCATAATGTAGTTCCACTCTGAAAGGCAACTCATTGTCTTCCGATACAGTCCTTCATTTCAAAAATACCTAGATCAGTGGTCTCTAGATCTTACCTAAACACTTAATTTTAACCATTTAATATCATTCACTAATTGCGTCATATGTGTTAGTTATGTTTCCTCAGCTAGATTATTATTAAATCTTTCATGGTAAGGGAACATTTTTTTTTTTTTTTTTGGTAAGGGAACATTTTTAATTGCCCTTTTTAGTGCCTGCCATAGTTCCTGAACAAGACATTCAGAAAAATGTTGCTTCTTAGATTTATTGAAAAGTAATTTACCAGTGAATGTCCTAAGATATGTAATTTGTCTTTTGTTTATCAACAGTTTTCTCCCAGAGATTTAGAGAAAAGAACTTGGGTTTTTAATTCATACAGAGTTCCCTTACAACCCCACCTCTGTCTCTTACCAGCCATAGATTTGGGGAAATATTTAACCTCACTGAGTCTTGGTTTCCTTATCTATGAAATGGGATAGAGGGAAATGAGGATTCTCCTGTAGTGTTGTGAAGTGAAGGGACATTCATGTAATGAAGGCGTCTAGCTCAATGCTCATCACATAGTAAGTGCTCAGATCCATTGTAGATAGGTAGATGATAGATAGATGGTAGATAGCAGTAAGATATAACATGGTACATCGTAGATGTATAAATACCTAAAACAATTGTTTCCACTTTAAATTTTAGCTCCAACTGAATGCCGTACTATTCGTCAACACCAAAATCTCACTTTCTTATAAAAATTTTTTTTATTTGTCAATTACAATTGACAATATTATATTAGTTTCAGTTGTACAACATAGTTATTAGACATAGAATGTACGAAGCGATCACCCTGGTAAGTCTAGTACCCATCTGACACCATACACAGTTAGTACAATGTTATTGACTATATACCCTATGCTGTACTAAAGCTTCATTTACTGTGGTTGTCTGCCAAAAACAAAAGGTGCAATTTCATAGTTAAAAAATTTTAATAACTGCAATACAGAATAGCTTTTAAAATTATAAAAAGTTATGAATTTTCTAAAATGACCATATTTTATATTTTATAAAGAGTTGAATTTATAAGTGAACTGCATTTAATGAAGTATTAAATAAAATTCACTTGTCTGGGAGATTATTTTTACTACTTGATTATCTTACCCTTGATAATATATTTTTTTAAATATTAGTCTTAAGTCAAAATTCTTTTATATTGAGAAATATATCAACTAAGTATCACTTAGATTAAGATTTAAAGGTATATATTAAAGTGTTCTTAGGAACCAAAATATATGAGAATTATAAAGGGTATTCCGTTGAAAAGTAAAATTTTAATGGATATCCATATAGAAAACAATGATCTCTACGTCTCACCATACTGAGGCCTAAAGGTAAAAGCTAAAATTATAAAGCATTTAGAAGAGAATAAGGGAGAATGTTTTCATTACTTTAGAGTAGGCAATGGTTTCTTTTTTTTAATTTTAGCTTTATTGAGGTATAATTGACAAAATTGTAAGATATTTCCAACCTCCCTATTTCCCCTATGCCCCAAGGCAATGATTTTTTAAAATAACAACACTAACCATAAAAGAAAAAAATTGACTAATGAACTTTACAAAAATTTAAAACTACTCATCAAAAGTCATCATTAACACATCTGGCAAAGGGCTCATACTCAATCTGTGAAGAACTCCTATAAACTTATTTTTAAAAAGCTGAACAACACAATTAAAAATGGGCAAAAGACTTAAACAGACACTTCAAAATTTGATTATTAAATACTATTACTATTTTAAATACTATTACTATTTTAATGTTATGTATAGACACTAAGAATCTACATTATTAATATGGAAAGATGTTACAACATTGCAGGCTGCAAAACATGTATTATGTAAAATTGTATATTTATATACACAGGAATATTTGGGAAGAATTTCACAGACATGAAATACGTAAAAAGTTAAGTATCATCTATTTGTTCCCGCCAGGTTCTCGGCTCCAATATTTTGGTGTTGAGACCCCAGAGCATTCAAGTGTTGTTTTTCAAGCCTGGCAGAGCAACCCCTAGCCCTAGAAGAGACTTTGGTATGGGATCCAATTATTCAAAAAATTAGAGCTTTTGAAAATTCAGTAAGGGTGATGTAATTGCTAATTAGCCAGATATGTACTCATTTATCCATTGAGAAATTGTTAAAAGTTATTCGGAACAGGTTGTTAATGTACTTGTTTATTGGAGCTAGGGTCTTGGATATTTTTCTTGTAATAAAAAAAAATTAAGTACCTAGTGAATATATAGAAAAGCGCTATCTTTCACCTTGAAATTTAAGATGTGAGCCTACCTCATTGGAAGCTTCAATGGATTTATAATCATAAATTTGTGAATCAATGCAAGGAAAAGAGATGAGTTTTAAGAAGAAAGATGAGGATAGTAATGCTAAAGAATTTCTATATCTAGAAAATGAGAGTATAATGAATAAGTGAAACCAAGACGAGCTGACAACCAGGTCTGGAAAAAAGCAAGGTGGGATCCAGGAACTTTCGGGACCTCAGCAGCAGGAGCTCAGGGTCTTTGTTCTGTGTCCACATCAATATCACTTTTTTACTCTTCACTGTGATTGCTTCTTTCTCTTCTTTGTAACCACCATCCTTTGGTTCAGAGGCCATAATTTGTCCAGTCACGTGTCTTTCATGAGGGAAACACATGACAAGACTTCAGGGCTCAGTAAGGAACTCTGTATAACGGAGGAGGGGAGGCATCTAATTAATATCTTTTGTGGTGAGGCTGTGTCAATAATTCAGAAATGATTCCTACCACAAAGATCTTACAGTCTAGTAGAGAAAGAGCTGTAAACAATAAGTTAGCTATTTGCTATAATTCCTATGATGGAACTAAATGCACCAGGTTGTGGTAAGAGAGCAGTCCGTTCTAATTTAGAGAAAACACTTAAGTTGTATCTTGAATGATGAATGAGATTCAGCAGTTAGACTTACAGAGGGAAGTACCTTTCAGGCAGAGGCACATGATAAAAGGATCTCTTAGGTGAGAAAGAGCTTGATCTGACCTGTTCCAAATAAGTTTGGTCAAGCACCAGCAGGATGTTTGAGCAGGGACCAGATTCATCTTCTGCGTTGTTTGCTCCTTTTCTCTTAGGCTGTGGGAGTCCTCACACCATTTTAAGCAGGGAAGCTTTATCAGTTTTGAGTGAGAAAGGTGATTACAATGGCATGAAGAGACTTGGAATTCTTGAAGTGAAAGGAGATGAAGCCCTGAATTAAGGTGACAGCAAAAGGGGATGGAAAGGCTCAAGAGACAGAGGAAAGTTAAAAGGAAAGAACTTGTAAGAAATTTTAAATTTGTTGAATGGGGAGGATTGGGGAGAGGGAAGAGTCTAGCATATATATTTCTAGCTTGAGTAACAGAGGGTCAGGTGGTGCCACTGACCCAAACAGGATAGGACAGAGGACAGGTATAGCTTTATTTCTCAGTGATTAGTTGATATTGCTACTTTATACTAACTTGGAAAGAAAAATGAAAACCCTATCTGCCTGCCCCTGAATTCACTCATCTCCCCACTCTTTGTTTGTTTGTTTATATTATGGTGATATTGGTTAATGAAATCCAATAAGTTTCAGCTATACATTTTAACAGTAAGGCATATATATATTTATTTACACTATGTGTTTACCTCTCATAGTTAGATTTCTGTCACCACATATTTGACCTACCCCGCACTCTTAACTTTAGAAAGGATACTTTTTTTACTCAATTCTACCAGTTTCTTAAAGGACCCTCCCAAGTAATTGCTACTTTACTTCATATTTTAAATCGTTTAATAAACTTAAACAATAAAACTACCCCCAACATTCCCAGAATCAGGGTAGAGAGGAAACAGGCAGGGCTTGGAAGAGGCTCACCGGCCTCCTACCTTCTAAGGAGGCTCTGTTGTTTCTATGTTTCTGCCTTTTGTTTCTTTGCTTCTGCCCAGGAATGGAACCAGCCTGGCTAAATCTAGCAGCTGAGCTGTTCTGGGTTTGGTTGCTACTGGTGAACATTCATTAAAGTTAGTCATTGCCCTTTTCTTCTTTATCCCTTCCTTGGGGTGAAAGAATGTAATGAGTTCAAAATTTTAATTGAAATATTGGCTGTGAGAGTCTGCTGCTACTTTGTAAATTCAAGAGCTAATTTAAAAACTTTGAACATACATACATCTATGATTCCTGTCACAAACATCTGTGAATTATCATTGGGTTGCCAGTGATACATTCCACTTACTGGAGTGAAAAGTCTCATGGGATGGCTTTACAACCAGGCTCAAATAACCTCAGCCCTCAGTGTTCTTAGGATTGACAGATAACTAAAAGCTCTTCCAAATATGGCCAACACAGTTTTAATCTTACTAAATATTTTTTTTCCATGTTGAGATGAGAATATCAACAAAAGTTATTCTTTCTTAGTTTTCTGTTTACTCCAAGTAACATATGTGGCACAATTTCTCTTGAGATTATGTTGAAATATTTATCATTAGTATTTGAGATAAAAACCAGTGATAATCAAAATTATATTTTAAATCTTTATTGATACCATTTTGATAGATTATGTTGAAATATTTATAGTATTTGTTTGAGATACAAATGATAGTCAATCAAAATTATATTTTAAATCTTTATTGATACAATTTTTTTTATGAACTAATCTATTTACATATTCTTCCAAACTGTATCCTTATAACTTAAAGCCAAGCACTTTTCTCAATATTAAAACTTGCAAAAAAGGGTTTAGCTACCTATAAACATCAGGTACAATTCTAAGTTCTGAGTCAAAAAATATTTCTAATATAATTAATGTTCTTCAAAACATTAAATGGATAACTTCCAATTTTTTTCCAAATAAAAGCCACAAAAATTAAATAATTACTGTCTACATTACAACTTGCTTATATCAAATTACTAAGAAAAGCATCATGCCAATTGTTAAGATCTTCTCTACTGATAGAAGGCAAAGAAATAAATTGTATATCACAGTTGTCAAAACACTCAGGTTTTGTATAGTCTGATTTATTCTTTGTTGTAAACTGCTAGATTGAAATAAGGATTCTTTGTACAAACACTGTATTTTGAAATCATAGAAGATATAGTCATTTTATAATATTTTATGATAGTAACATGGTATTCATTTATTTTGTTAGAAATTATTCACAGGTCCTAAAATACTACATGATCGAAATATGTCATACTAAGGAAATTATCCTTGTATATCTTTATTATAGAAATGTCTAATAATTATATATCAGAAATAAAGATTGTTTAATATTGACTGAATATTTAGTACATTTTATAATTAAGTTTGTACTGGCTTTCTTAATTTTAGCTAACCTAAGCTAATCTAATGTTTTTCTTTTCTAGAATGAAGCAAGCATTTAGTTTCTATTTGTAATAAATCCCAAACTTTTAGGGTTTTTTGGTTGTTCTTAGAAAGACAATAATTTGATATAAGTAAAGTGGAATGCTTTTTAACTTTTATATTATCTTGTTATTATTGGTTACCTATGGATAGGCTTCAAAAAATAATAACAAGAATTAAAGGATATGGATAAAGAATTCCAGAAAATAACATTTTTGTTTAAATGTTTGTTTAAAAAACAAAACAAAGCAAAAAAGAGCACACAAACACTTGGCATAGATTATTACTAGCATGTAAAACTGATCTGCGATTTTGACATTGATTAAGCTGGCAACATGAATATTAGCTGCCCCTTCTATAATGGTTGACCATTAAAAATTTAATTAGATTTCCATCTACCTGCATTCAACATTTCTTAAGAATTAGCTCATTCTTCCTTACTAGCTTAAGCTTATAGATCATTGAACATTTTATAGCTGTCAGTGTTTTCTTTTACACTTTTGGCATCATGGAAAACTACGATCTTATTTATTGACTTGAAATATTTAAAATTAATTGATTTGAAAGCAATGTTTCCTAATAAAATATTTGGCAAATCTGAAAAAAAATTTTAAAGTTATCTCCAACACATGTGACCTTTTCTTTGCTAATTTTTGTTTAAATTAAAAACTTAGACCATATGAAGGTTGTTAAATATTGGAAGTTTTGAGAGAAAATGGCTTGAATTTTGAGAGAATTCCCTTACCAGAAACTATATATTCTTTGTATATCCATATACAAAGTGCCTAGTATGATACATGGTACATGTTGATCTCCCTAACTGTTACAGACTCAACAATTACAAGATTTAAAAGGATGAACATTTGAGATTTCTTCTCTAGTTCTACATTCCTCTGATACAGACATTTGAACAAAATGTATTTTCTAGCCATCTCTTAAAAATTTACTAACTGCTTAATTTGTTCTGTTTGCAATGACTGTCTCCTTAACAACATTTTTTTACTTTTGAGTTCTTTAGGAAATATAGGAACTGTTGGCATAAGCACTTTTTGACCACAAGAAAGAAGACTGGAAATCTTGTTGACATTGATATCTGAGACAGGAGGCGGGGGATTCACATTTAAGGGTGGCAGAAATCCTGGTCTGGTTTGGGTCACGTTGTGATCTAAAGGGAACGCTCCTGAACCACGCCTTTCTAAAACTGCATGATTTCTTCTGCTCAGGGGAGCTGGGGGGATATTCTCCAACAGTTCTTTGGAGCCTGACAACAAAGAAGGTGATAGTGAGAGGATCTTTTTCTTTCCCGTAAGTGCCTTGCCATCTTCTAAAGTTGTAGGGATTAGACCAGCTGAGAGCTGGGAATCAGAGCTGTAGTGATTTGCTCCCGAGTTTCTTTTTTGAACAATACTTTTTAAGGTGGAAGCAAATATTGTCTGGTTAGAGTCTGGGTCCTGGTCAACAGGGATTTCGATGCATTGCTGATTTCCTTCTGAAAAAAATGACTGATAATTTATTTCATCGTATGACATCTTTCTTGAGCTGGCCTGATCAAAGGCTCTTAGCAAATGTGCCGTGTCTTTTACGTCAATACTTTGGTGCCTAGTGATGAATCGCTTGGAAAGTGCCAGCCCATTGGTCTTGTGGGATAATTCTTCCTCTGGAGTAATATCCTGGAGCTCCTCTTGCAAAGAGGCCACTCTGTGTTGGTGCATTAATGAAGGGGGGCTCTTGATCCAGGGGGGAGCCTGGGGTAGCTTGGGCCCATTAGGGGGCACAGCCGGCTTCCTCACAGGGGAGCCTGGGTCCCAGGTATCATCACTGCTTCCTGAGGGCTCCAGACCTTTAAAGCCAAAAGGTGTCATTTCAGTTTCAGAAGAATGTGAAAGTAGCAATGAAGCTGTTCTTATGTTTATTTCTGAAGGCGTGGCACAGGCAGCTGGGGAGTGACACTCATCTATATCTGCAGGAGGCATATTTAAGTACTGTTGGGTAGTGTGCCTGCCAGAAGGCGATTTTGCTGTTGTTATGATAATGACTTCTTTCCCTTTTGCCTTGCAGGCACTAAGTAGAACTTTAAGGGTCTCTCTGTCTTCGGAATTTATAGCATAAACGAGGGCTGAGTAACTCGAATGGTCTTGCAAGCTGAGGTCTGCCCCACTCTTTAGGAGCAAGGAGACAACTTCAGGACCAGCTCTTTCTAAGCAAGCATGCATCAAAGCGGTTTTCCCAGATTTGTCTTGTATGTTGGGATCGGCGTTGTTTTCTAACAGATATTTAACCATTTTGGCTCTACTGACACTCTGGTGATCAACAGGTTTGGTCTTACAAGCAATCATCAAAGGCGTTTCCCCACGGTCATTGCTCTCATTGATGTAGGCACCGCCTTCCAGCAGGAGTCTTGTGAGGCGAAGCCGGCTCTGACGGACTGCTTTGATCAGAGAGTTTCCATCACTTGAAATTTCTACACCTTCATCCATCTTCAAAAGTCAGAAATCAATACCTGCTTATCAAAGAAGATGAAGATGAAGAGATTAGTCAGAATCAATGTCCCCATTTGTATTCGTGCTATTATTCACAATTTCTGAAAGATACATAGAGAAAAAGGACAAGTGAGATTGTTATTAATAAAAACGGCAAAATAGTGAATTGCAAAATAAAAAATTTTAGACTAGTAATGAGTTTTAGGAAATTACAAACTAAAATTTACGTTCAAAATCTTCATTGAATATGTTATAACACCAGCCTACTAATTCCTGAATCCTACATTAATAAAATAATCCACTTATTTTCTACTTGTGAACAATATATTAAAAATCATACTAAAATGCCAATTTAAGCAACAACAACCAAAAAAAGCCAAGATTCTGTGTAATTTCAACTGAATCAATTAAAATATAGCATGTTTATGGTGGCTTAATGTAAAAACTTCTTAGTTTTAAATTACTACTTAAACATGTGCTTTAGTTAAATAATTCAACTATTTCTAGATTTTCAATTTGAGGAGCATTTTTATGTTTCTTTTAAAGAATGAAAAATTATTTGGACTACAAGACATTAAAATAACTGACAATGTCTGGAATTCACACTGAGACAGGAATGTTGATCATATGGTTATGTATTTTTCTTTATTCCATTATTTAAATCACACACTGACTAGATTAAGGGGTTAGCAACATACTGTTGGGTTAAATTTTGACAGCAGTGCATTTACTCTGAAAAAGGAATATTCTAGGCTAGAAACATAAATAAAGACATGTAGACTTTATAAATATTTTATTTTTTACCATTAAAACTGAAAATTATTTATTTAAATAATTTAGATTCAAACTCCTTCAGCAGATAAGTCCATTGGTTGATAAGAATTATATCTTTATCTAGAGCTGAAGAAATGTTTGTCTTTTAACAGTCCTTAGAGCTGAAGAGAAAAATCAAACGTAGTTTATATATTTAAATCTTTTTAATTGAATTAAGCAGTTTTTAAAAATTGAGATGTATTACTTATTCCATCCATTTACTTTTAAAATTAAAAATATAAGACATGAATTTCTTCTGGATAATAGAATAGATAATAAATATAATGACTTCTTAACAAACAGAAGTAGAGATGAAGAGAGCAGAAAGAAAATGAAGAAAAAGGGGTAAGACAGACATGCACAGAAATTAATTCAATTGTTAAACAGCTATACACTCCTAATAAGTGCTGGGCACTGAGCTACAAAAGGTACAAGTCCTAGCCCTGAAGAGCTTACACAGTTGTTTTAAAAGATACTGTGTAAACAGCTGGTTATGAGTTACAGTCATGAGAATACACAGGCTTTAGTGCTTGGGGATTCGAGGGGGCATCACAGAGGCCAGCCATTAGCACTGGGTCTTGAAGACTGCATAAGAGTTTGACAGGCAGACAAAGGAGAAAAAGAGAATACTCCTTGTGCAAAGAACTAGAGGCTTAAAATAGCACAGTTATTTCTCATAAGTCAGGCTCTATTTATGCTGATATAACGAAACTTTAGGAAAATATTTTAGCAGGTGGTTATTGTTAGGGTAAATATGGCAGAACACACGTCTAATTTTGCCCCTTCCCGAAAGCCCCTGAAACTAAAAATATTTTTTAAAGATATAAACTCACAAGGATAGGAGAAAAAGGAGAGAGACCCACAGCAACATTTTAGAAGCCACAAAGCAGAGGGGCCAATGGAAACTGACTCAGCCAACCTGATAAGGCTGTGCCTCAGGTGATTGGTGGCAAAGCTGTGAACTAGGCCCATGTACACTGCAGAATCCTTGAAAGAGGCAGCAGCAGGAAGCTCTAGAACTCGGTTGTGGCGAGTACAGCTAAAATAAGAACTAGGTGAAAAGCTATTGGGGAAGCAGTTAGATCCCTAGGTTCTTGCTACTCCAAGTGATCCTACTTTGGACCTGCAGCAGCAGCATTACCTGAAGCTTGTTAGATATGCAGCATCTCAGGCTCCACCCAGACCTACTGAATCAGAGCCTACATTGTAATTAGATCCCTAAGTGATTTGTATGCTCATTAAAGTTTGAGAAGTACTGCCTCGGGTCATTTCTCCACTCCAAGCCACTAAGAACTAAGGAAACTGTCTCACCCTCTAGAGGAGATGTCCAGAGGTTAATTCTCTAGGAATGTGAAATAGTCTCTGGATAGAAAGACACTGGGCATGTCTGAGGACCAGAAAAAACAGGGGAATAAGTGATTATATGTTTACTGACCACTGAATGAACGGACTCACGAACTTGGCTCCAGGAAGGCTGGCAGCCATACCCTTATTCTTCAGCGAAAATTGCTATACTCTACTCTCCAAAATCTAATCTGCCTAAGAGGAGATACGTAAGAGTACTGACCACAGGGATTCCCCAACGTGCCACTCAGATCATCCTCCAGTGAGGCTCAAAGGTGACAAGCCTCATCATATTCTCGAGGTTTCTCATCGGCTTTTTAATCCAAGTCCTTTTAATCATGAGCAGACAGTTAAAACAAAAAACAAAACAAAAAAAAGCCTCTTGCATTAAAAATATAGAGACCAGAACAGATAGGAAAAAAATGCAAATTGGAGGAAACAGATATAAGTCAGGAAAATGAAAATTGCACAAGTTCATTATCCTCAAATAGATATAATGTTGTAACCATGAAATAAGTAGGAATAAGATTCCATGAAAAAAAAATATTCAGAGACTACAGAAAGAGCTCTCAAAAGGTAAAAACATGATATAAACTGCAAAGCTCTATAGAAGGGTTGGATAACAGCGTTGATAAAATCTATAATACAGTTAAGCAAAAATAATAGAAAAGGAAAAAATAACAGAATTAGAGGACTATACCAGGACATCCAACATCCAACCAACAGAAGTTCCAGCAAGAGGAAATAGTGGGGGTGGGGAGAAGAGGAGAGCAGGAGAGGAAATGGTCAATGAGATCAAGAAAATTTTCTAGACCCGAGGGACATGAGTGACCAAATTGAAAGGGCCCAGTTAGAACATAGCACGATGAATGAAAATAGACCCCGACCATGGCACGTGGTTATAAATTTCCAAAACACTGAGAACAGAGAAGATTCCACAAACTTGGGTGTGGAAGGTGGAGAGTGGAGTGGATAAGTCATATACTAAAGGATCAAATATTAGAATGGATTCAGATATAACAACAATGAAAGACAATGGAGGAATGTTGTTGTTTTTTCAATCCGAAGGAAAAATGATCCTCAGCTTACAATTCTATATGTAGCCAAAACATTAGTCAAGCATTGGAATATACTCTCGAGAATCTACTGGAGGTTATAATCTACTAAGATGAAATGGTAGAACAAGAAAGAAGAAACGAGATATCAGAGGCTGGAGATCATTAGCGAGGAGAGGCATTGAAAAGTCCCCAAGAAGATGGTGAGAGGAGATGCCCAGATAATGGATGTGCACGGTGGACCAAATGCTCAGGTGAGCCTGCCCTCAGTTCTTTAGTCTTCTTTCTTTGTACTGACCATGTCTCTGCTCTGTCCTCCATGCCCTGCTTTCTGGGGCAGCCAATGAACCTATTTCAGCCCTGCTCAGCTTCTTTGCTTTGATCTGCTCTGAGACCTGGGTGTAAGTCATGATGAGCTTAGCAGGAAAAACAATGAACACCCATTTCCTTTGCATATCCTATACCTAGTCTACACTACAGCCCTGCCAGAAGCCCTGAATGGTGAGCCCCACCGTTTTCCAGGACTCACTCATGACCTTGCCCAGAAGGGGCTCTTGTAAACACTCGGCGACAATGAGGTGAACTGAGATTCAGAGACTGTTCAGCTTATCCCCTCCTGAGAGCTTTCGTCATATATTATAATGTTGACTTTTCTTTATCTAATTTTGTGTTTGGTACCCAGTTTTTCAAAAATAATTAATTTACTTAAGAATCATATACAAATGGGAAACTGAAGAGAAAAAAGCAAAGGGAATGATTAACACAAAAATCAAGAGAAAGTTATCTCTTGGTGGGGGTAAAGGGAGCAAATACAATTTGGGAGAGACATACAGTTCACGTAATGTTCTGTTTCTCAACCAGGGTGGCATGTATATGAACGTCTATTTTATTATCAATTTTTAAATGGTATTTTACATTCTTTTTTATTATGATACTACTCTTACCTATTTATTGTAAAATAGAACGTGTATACAAGAAAGAACATAATGTTTCTATAAGATATAATTAAAATGTATAAAGAGCCATATTAAGTCTTACTTTTTACAACATAATTCAGTTTTTGTGGTATTATCAATAGGACATCCTTACTCATTTCCATGTTAATATCATCTACAATCCTAAACAAAGAACAACTACTCAATATACACATACATAAGTACAATGAAAGTTAATGCCGTGATTTTATGTTCCCTGTGCAATTTCCTATAAAAGCTGTTCTAGAACCAGACATACCTGCAACTCAGGAACTTAGGAATTTTAGGACTGGTTGACAGCTTGGGTCCCAACAGAGGTCTGTTCTGAATGCAAAGCATCTGAAATGAGCTCACATGAGACAATAATCCAAAAGAAACCTTTTAGCATTTTTCATATACAAATGGATTTAACAAAGAGATTTAGAGAAATGTGCTGGTACATAATATCAAATATAGAAACCATTTAGTAACCATAATTCAAGCAGAAGATACAGTATCAATTACATAAAAACACCTTTGACCAAAAGTAGCATTTAAGAAACAGATATTCAAATGAGAACAAGTTGTCAGATACCACATTTCAATATCATACTCTCATATAGTTTCTAGTATTTGGGCCAATCTTCTTTAAAAAAAAAAAAAAAAAGCTCTTTTTTGTGTGTGTGTCTACATCACATTCTAATCTATAATTTGTTCTTTATTTTTAAAAATAAAGTCTTATAAGAAACTTTTGGAAAGACTTTCAAACCTTTTCACCTATCTTCATGCCACAGCCTTTCTCCATAACACTAAACCCGACAACTTTCTGTCATAACTTTCTCACGAAGGTTGGCGTCAGGAGATTTGGGGAGAAGAAGGAATGCCTGAGGGGATCAGTGCTACACCACAGTCCTGTGAAAAAGGAGGGCACTGTGGGCTCCTAGGCCCCAGAGAAGCTGGGCAGTGGCACCACTAGCTCATGGGAGTCAGCAAACCATGTGGTTGTAGGCAGAGCCCGTCTCCTGAGAATGGAGGACTGTCTAGCAAAAACAAGTCCATGAGGCTTACTCTTTGTTGGTTATAAAGCCCACTGGATTGCTTACTTTTAAAATTGTTCACATTTCGTAGAGCAATTTCGAAATTGTTTAAACGTTAAATTTTTCGGAGAAAAAAAATTGTCACATACTTTATTTTCCACATATATACATGTTTGGTTTCCTAGTGTCTCATTTGTAATCAGTAACTTATTGGAATAATCCCCCTGTCTTTCGCCCTCATCCTCTTTCAGTTGTTTTTTTTTATCTTGCTTCAGCCATTTGCACATCAAAAAGGCTGACACTCGAGTTTGACTTATTTACTCTTCATAGTGGTGAGTCCTACCTCTGATAAGACCACTTCTCTTGCCTACAATTATCCTTGTTTAGAAATGTCCTAGCCTGTGAAACATCCTCATTGAGCACCCAGTGCTGATACTGTCTTCACATTCAGGCAGATCCTTGTTATAATCTAGCTTATAAATGATCCCCAAGTTCAGGTATACCTTCCACGTAGAAAATAGTTCAACTGGAGAAAGTTCGGAGGTCAGACCCAGATTTCCATCTCGACTCCCCTACTTACTAGCTGAAGGCCCTGCTCAAGTCTCTCAGTCTCTTAGAGTCTTGGATTCCTCATCTTTGGAATGGCAATCATATAACATTCATCCTCTGGGGGTGTGGCGATGGAATCACTAGAAAAAAGACCTTCTTGTGCCTTCCTGCTCACTGCATTCTTCTTTTAAAATAATTTATCTCAGAATTTAGCCTTCTTTTATTTCTATCATGTCTCTAATTAACAGCTTATTTAAATAACAGATAAAATGTTTAAAATGTTTTTTTGGAATCTGCAAATAATATTTCGTAAACATAAGTGGAATCTACTAAGTGAAATATGAAAAGAAGACATCCTTTACAAGCATTTTCCTTATAATTTCTAAGTACAATAATTTCAACATTATTATAAGATATTAATTATTAAACAGCTGGATAAATTGTTTTTACTTTCAAATTAGAACATCTTTAATATCACTTGCAATTCATCATGACATATTTACTATACTCTTTTGGTTCCTCTCTCTACTCCTAAGACTCCACTAAAATTACAATTTAGTTATTTAAAAAATCAAAAAGGTATATAGTCTAAAGAACAAAGAGAATTGGAGAAGAGATATCATCAGATGAGCAATTTTAAACAACCGTGGGAAGCAGAGGGGGGATGGTGACATGGTAAACTGCCCTAGCATGGCAAAGGCTGCAAACAGAAAGCACCAGGGAGATGAGAAGGGAGCCAGCTTACCCACAAGAGCTGTGAAGTTTAGGATGTGGAGGCCCCAAGTGACACAGCAAGTGGCAATGAGGCCCTTGAGAGCTGAAAATGAGAGGAAGGCTTAAAAATCTATGGACAGAACAACTGGATCCCCAGGTACTTTACTCCACCCCAAGTAGCAGATAACACT